TATGGTCTGGGGACTTAGCGATTAGTTAATGTAGCAAGGGAGACGTTTATGTATTTATTATGATGTAAGGGGCCAGTTATTATTTTAATAAAGCTAAGTACGGGTTCTTTTTCCTCCTTAGGGCCTTCACGGCCTTTATTTATCTTAAAATTCTTTATTTACATTTGACATTCTACGTCTACTACTTCTCCTAATTATCCGACATGGCCTTCGTGTTCTACGTAGCCATAGTAGCCTACGTAGCCGAGTGGGCCGGGTTACCCTAATTTGGAGTAGCCGTAGTCACGTGCCACGTGACTTCTTCGGGTAACAATATAATTTCATGTCTAGTGAAGTACATCATTAGATTCCTTTATCAAAATCAGCCGAAATGGTTAAACACAAAATCAATTTGGAGTGGCCTAATCAGTTAAAATAATGATAAAATAATTAGTATGGTCTGGTCTAGCTCGACAAGTAATTTATGTTCAGTAACGTACAGAAAAAAACTGCGAAATTATTTTTAAAAAATTAAATTTTTTTTTTTTCATGGAATAAGAAGCTATTTTCTGAATACTACATAGCAAAAAAAAATGTCCTCGCAAATTTGATATCTCCTATTGACTCTATCATTAACTTAAAATGTCACATTTTAAAAAGAAAGTGTCATGTAAATTGTTACAAATACTCCAAGAAACAGAAACTTAGGTTGAATTAGTAAATTAATATTTTTTTTGGTGTGATTTATTACAACAATTTTAAAATTGACTTGTATTCTGAAAGCGCGACAAATCAAGCGAATTGCATCAAAGTAATAATAGTCACAAAAGCCCGGTATGATATTTCACAACAAAAAAACGTAAATAATCTTAATTTCACAATAATAAAAGTATTCGTTCTCTCACTCCGTGCACCTGAAGATATTTGGCCTGCACCAAAAGTTTATATCATATAAAATTTGATTGTTACTTTTAAAATATTTCTTTTTTTTTTGAAGTTGTTGCATAAATAAGTCCATGCGCATACGATTGTATAAATGAATATAATTAATAACTGTAACCTTTACTTTAAAGGCTTTTTGGTGCTTGTAATAAGGATCTAATTATATTTTTCTGCGATCTTCTTTTTCCTTTTAGTTCAAGTAAATACTTGAGTCAGAGTTTAAAAATTGTGCTCAGAGTGATATTGCATTTAGAGAAATTGCGTTTGGAGCTTCAATGTACTGTAAATATTTAATATTCAGTTATTGATTGGTTTAATGTTCATAACTTTTTTTAAAGGTCATTAAATTACTCGAAACAAGGGTTCGTTTTCTACTTTCAGGTTAGAGTCAGTCCTTAAGATTATCTAAATTTAATGTTTAGTAAAGGTTTCTTTGGTGTAATGGATTTTTATTTAAAGCACTACATATTAATTACCATCAAATAATCTACCAGTTTTTGAGATGTAAGACACAATAGACGTGTTTTCGGCAAAATTTGGTTTATGTTTAATGCATTAATACTAAAATATATGGTTATAGCAAACGTTAAAATAATGTGAATGATGACTTGATCTTCGTAAATACGTGGTCCGTGCTGTGCCCTCTATTTTTGATTATTTTTATTACTATTGGTCTGCAAATGCTAATGCTGGGCATGCCATGCCAGTGCATATAAGCACAAAGGCATCATGCAATTTTAAGCTGGTATCTTTGTGCAAGTGCCCATGCTGGGCATATTGGCACTATACTAGGCGATAATACCAATAACTATAATAGTGCTAAGTTTTAAAAGTGTCAGATATTTTTAGATAAAAAACTATGACAGAATCTATATTTGTGCCTATACCATAGTGCTTCGAATAGTTAAATAGTTTAATTGAAAAATGATAAAATAATAGATAAATGCTTATCTTACGCTATTTTGGATAAAGTTTATTTGATTAACTACTCACGACTTTTTATAAATTAACTAGTCAAATAAATGCCAGCCACTAGTGTCGGCAAACACTTACATGTGCTAGACACTACACTAATGTTAGTAAATACTGCACAAAGTATAGTTTTTACTCATACACCATAAAATTTTTGTTAAGCACAAGGGCATATCACGTAGTAGCGCAGAAAAATTATTATAGCTTGATTGTTCTGACGATAATAGTTTACAACAAAAAATAATTTTTAATAGAATCATAATGATATAATGTACTGTGTCACATTGCTATCTCGTTTATGATGGACTTATTTCTATTTCAAATAGATCGATCACAATTTTACCGCTAGCGATAGATGTGTATTTTAATTTATTATTTGAAAGTTGATTTACCATGATTAAGCAATTGAATCATAACAAAGAAATTAAATGCGTATTTTAAATCTTTAATGTAGTTATACTACAAAAAATTGTATATTACCACCAGAAACTTTGTCAATTATAATTTGAAATCCTTGTTACTTAGCATAAGGAGCAACTATTTCTACAAAATCATTATGTGTATTATTCTTTTAAAAATTCAGTAATAGACATACGATTCCCGGAGTAGTTGATCAAATCTCTCAATTTTAATTTTCCAGTTTTACAATACAATATTATACTGTATTATGTAAAAGGAAGTCTATAAATCATACAAACACATTTATAAAATATGTAGAGATATATCTATAGAATGTGAAAGTCATGCCATTACTAAAAAAAATATTATGCAGCCTAATATCTGTAAGAATATATCAATAAGAACCTAACAAATTTGGGGATATTTCAATTTTAATAAGCTTATAATTGCATAATGGCCTAATTCGAAACTTAAAACTCTAAAAAAAATATATATATATTTCATTAGAAATTATTTTGTCAAAATATCAAATTCGGAAAAGTTTTTTTTTATAATTATGTCTAATGTCTACTTTAAAGATGTTTACAGTAAAGAAGATGACTATGTTAATATTCTTTTTAAATAAATAGTTAATGTTTATTTAAATACGATTTCATAATTGATCTTTAGCAAACATTCCTGGTTACTTACTTTTGTTAGCTGATCGTTTAAGTTATATTGCTAATATTATGTAGTTCAATAGGTAGCAAATAGGTTTACTTTTTAAGTCTTCCGAGTGGTTGATTCTTTTTGATTATGTTATAAGATAAACTTTGACACAAACCAAAGCTAAGAATAATATTTGAAGTGATTATTTATAAGTGGAGTTACCTTCTCGAAAAGTAATGTAAAATTTGAAATGCATTAAAATAGTTACCCTAAATTAGAAAACTTCTACATTTTCTTCGAAATTTTGATCATGTAATTCATACTGATGTTCCGGATCTATTGGCAATTTGAAGTTAAGCTATGACTTAAATTTAAAAGGAATACATGTCTCATATACTCATTGGATTCAAATATATGATTATTCTTGTTGATAAGTTTCCTCACTTTAAAATTTATTATGCTTAAACTCACAGTACGTAGGTTCTAATAAAAGATTACTCCAATATAGTTACACGATTTATAAATAATTTTTTTATGTTTTACACTACTTCTTTTAAAAACTCGGTAGCTGAAAGTTTCTATGAAACGAGAATAAATTTGTTTCTCCTTATAACATATTCTTTGAATCCGTGAACCTCTAGACGGGTGTCTAACTTATTTTTCCGTTGGCGTAAATTTAAATGGCTAAACTATTTTAGATTGTCTAAATCGTAAATAATTTAGTATGTCGAAAACAATTCAGGTTGCCGAATATATTTTAGGGTGTCTAAAATATTTTAGAACGTCTAAATATTTTAGTATGTCTAAAATATTTTCGCCAGTCCAAAATGTTTGAAGAGAGTAGGAAATATAGATTATCCTGTAAGAAAGATCCAAAAATTTTCTTCGGTGTTCAGCATTGATTTATTTTTAACCTGTAATTTGGTATCTTAAATTTATATTTAGAAGCCAAACACTTGAATTGATAACCGAATTATAGCTTTTATAAATTCGCTTTGATAAAAAGTTAAAATGTCACAAAATTTTAGTTATAACAGTAAGGCAATGTTCATATACTGTATATTATTCATATATAATAAATGAAGGTATAAGATAAATGAATATAAAAAATATGTATGTATAATGCTTTGGCATAATATGTATAAGTTAAATGATAGCTAAAAGTTAAAAAAAAACCTATACATCCTTACTATGGATGCATTAATATTTCATCAATATCATAATTATATTCATCATCTTTAGGTTCCAAATTATTATCTCATTTCATTTGTTTTTTCATCCAAAAACGTGTTAAAAACTAACATTTCTTCAATCTCCAAAGTTTTACTATCGAATTGTAAAAGGTCATCCAAGTTCTCAGTATCAGAAATGTAATTAGCATCAAGCTCTTCTTCATCTTCAGTATTATCGTTGAACATATCATTATCAAACTCAACCATATTTGCATAATTTTCTATAACCCATTCAAATTCTGATTCTGAAATTGCATGATTAATATAATTAAACTCATTTTGAGCAATTTTGCAATATTTGATACTTTTCTACAGTAATTCTGTTAAAATAAAATTTTAAAATATAGTAGATATTGAAATTAAATGATGAAAAAGGAAAACCTATAAATCATTGTACTCATTATCTTAATAATGAGTAAAATAATTTATAGGTTTTTCCTTTTTGTCACTCATATATATGTACATAAATATTACTGTACAGCATTGACTACAGTATTTCTTTTAAAATACCTTACAACAAAGACTTAGATAAAATTCATAAAATCATAATTCAGAAAATTGAAAAAACCTAAATATTATTCTAGGTATTTAACATATTGAAAATAATATAAAAAATATTTATTATAGTATTTTTTTATAATTAATATCTAAGTATTATTTGATAAATTTGACAGTTTTTAGAATAGTATTTTAGATACTGTAGTCAATATCATATCTATAGTAGTAATAATAAAAATGCATATATTATAATAACATGTATATAAATATATATTAATGCATACAAAATGTTTTATACATATAATAATGCATAATAAAAAAAAACAAAAAAAAATTATTTTTTAAAAAAAACTTAATATATTAAAATATATACAAAACAGAATTATACATATATATAAAACCTATTTCTAATTATATCACATATAATAATTATATATATATATTTAATTAGTATTTTTTGTATAATTAAACTTAGAATTAAAAATATTTTTTTATAATTTGTATTATATAAAGTAATTGTTAATAAATATAATACTAATTTCAAAAAAGATAATTTGAAAACTTATATTTATTTTATTAAATTTATAAAATTTCAATTTCTTCTATAAAAGTAAAATTTTAAGGTAATTTGAATGTATTGTATATTTTAATTTATAATATAAGTATATTTGTATTTACTAATTATTATTAACATTTTTTAGATTTTATATGCTATATCAAAATTTAATAAAATATTAAATTTTTTATACTTTTTTCTTAATACTTTGGGTAAAAAAATACTAAGAGATAAAATTTTATATTAAATTCTTTTTAATATTTATTATAAAATTAAATATATTCTTTATAGAATTTATATATTCTAATAAATTATGTTTTTAAATATATTAATAATTACTACTATTTAATAAAAAATAAAAAATAAAAAATATCAATTGTTTGTCATAGTTTTATTTTAACTGCATTATTGATAAGAAATAAAGCTTTTGTTAAAACTTTAGTACTTATTTAAAACTGCTTATCTTATATAAGATTTTGTAATTTAGATGTTATATATAGCAAACTTATCATTATTCAAAATCTAAATAATTTAATATTTATATATAAATCTTAATATAAAAATGTAAATATAATAATTTGTTTTTTGAGTTAAAGTCTCTGTTTATGAGAGTTGATATTTTTATTTATGTATTTGAACATGAGTGCCTCCAGAGGCTTCCTTACATTGGAGGTTACAACTAGCTACACATGCACTTTTAGTATCTAATTTAAGTAGTTTGCCTATACATTACTATACAGGTTCTATACTAGGTGCCATACCTGCAAGCCAACTACAGATCTTGCCTATTTAAATCCTCTGTATATGTAGTTCACTATGTCTCACAGTAACATCTTCAAGGCTACACCTATCCAAAGTATCTGATGCCTTTAAGTACTCTTAGAACTAGTTTATCCTCGACAGAAAACTTACTAAAACCTTTCATGTCCCACACATAGCTGATTTAGTTTTATGCAATATGCTATAGTTACTTAACACTTGCAGTCATAGGAGTTACCTGTTAAACTGCTACATTACACTATTTCTACCCTTGTAAAGTTCACTAGAACTCCAGTAATTTTCATCGTGATGTCTTCTCTATTATCTCTTACTAACCACTATTTAGAACTGACAAAACTCTCCCAACTTCCAATCAAAAGAGCCTAGTATAGTATATTTATGTATTCTTTTTCTCTAGCAATTCTGGCAGCCTGGTTGGTAATGTACTCTTCTACACATTTTGATAT